ATGTTGATGGAGAAAGATGCAGTCACAACAATGAGAGAAAGGATAGGACGATGTGAACGCCAAGCGGAGTTGCCCTGGTTGTTCGAAGGTAGATATACGGCTCGGGGCGTGCATGCCGTAGTCCGGTTCGTAACCACAAACGTGAATACCACGTAGTTCGTTGTCCGTTGAAAGGCTGGTGTTCTTGCAACCTTCGTCACTGTCAGTCCGGCATATGCTTATATCTCGCTACACGTTCTGCCATCTCTGCCGTGCTCTCCTCAGCAGCAGTCGCGTCCTCAAAATGGATCCGTCTACGCGTATGCCCCTTGTGCCTCTCCCGCTCTTCCGCTCGGTTGTAGTTTCGGCCTCCGTGGTGCTTTTGCTGTCCTGTGTAAGCCGCACGTAGTCGACTGGCTTCTGCTCCTTGTGTCAGGCGACCATGAACCTGTCTGCCCCCCCGTAGAACCCCCACGACCTTCGCTGCACCTTCGCTGCGAAGGTCCAGATGGCTTGAGGAACTCCAACTAGGTCTCCTGTCGCCCTCCGTTGATTCGTCTGTGGTGTGGAATGCTTGCAAGTCGTTCTTCAGGCAGGCACGTCAGCCGATGTTGCTCCGTGAACCGCTTGCCTGGGGCCTCTCCCCCCACCATGTTCCCACACATCATTCGCTTCGCGATTCGCCGGTCCGATTGTGCGGTCACGTCTCCCGCGAACAGCAGTTGCCGTAGGTGCAAGTGGCCTCCAAGCTTTGGAGTTCGACCTTTGTAGGGTCCGGAGGCTTAAGATAGCTGTCCACAGTTTCCGCGCGTGCGGCGGTGCTCGAAGATTTGTACAAGGAGCCGGTCACGTATCCTTCTCAGCACCGGGCAGTGGTCGCAGCGCGAGGCTCACGTCATGCATCACCTCCTCCGTTTTGGGCTATCGGACTCTGATCCCCACGGTGCTGTCTGTCTATCGAAGGGCTCCAGGGAGTAGTTCCATATGCACGTCCACGCGGCTCTGCTCCGGTGGTTCATCTATTGCGTGATCTCGCCATCTTCTCTCGAACGTATCGGAAGGTGGTCTGGGCTATTTCTTTCATCCCGCAACTTCGATCACCAGCGGTGCCTGGAGGTGGTGGGGGTGGCACTCCCTTCGTCAACTTCTCCGGCATCCGCATCTCAAGAGTCCCTGGTCTTCTTCTCCGAGACCAAAGGCTCCAACCACTCAGCCAGCCCTTCGGGCGATCTCGACGAAAATCAAACGTCTTCGGAATACAGCGTTGCTCATAACACCCTCCGCGCTTGATCGAGGGGTGTTGCTGGCAACAATCCCCACTAGGGAGTTCCTAGTTACCATGAGCGACGAACGCACAATCCACCCTACATAGCTCCCCAAACTTCTGGCTCAGAGAAGCCCATCCACTGGAGCACACAGCCTCGAGGGGCTGATTCCAAACGGGTCAACTGCTGCAAGGCTGACACTGAGTACCCGACGTTAGCTAGTACATTGTTCGCGCCACGTTTCGCTAAATGTTCTCTCTCTCTGGGAATAGAACGCCTCATGGGACCCCCGGATTCCAAATTTACACACATCCAGCTGGTCTTGCGTGTACATTGTTCAAGTCCCCCCCCCCCCCCCCCCCCCC